AAAACACAGCTTTTACAGCATACCTCTAACAGTAAGTTCATCATAAGTATTGGGGCTGAATTGCCAACGAAAACTTTTGTTTTTTGCTAAGAGAAAGTGATGAACGAACTTATATTAATTCCGTGTTGTATAAAAGTGGGAGCAATAAGGGCTGAGTTGTGCACGAAGAGAATTTATTTTTCTCATCATCTTGTTAGTGTCGAGCTCGTCTCAAATTGATTTAGGGAGATTTGTGGGTCAATCAATTAATGGATTTTTCCAATATTCATGAAAAGAAAATTTTTGGTTTTGCATGTTAAATATCTATTTTAGGCATGTGCATCAGTTTTTCTCATAGCATATATTTTTTCGATCCTGCGCCCAAATTATTTTTGGTACATGATTTGGCCAATATTCGTGTCTGAAACTTGGTATATATGGTAACCTTGTTGCAACTTGGTATCAAATCTTATATATGGTAACCTTGTTGCGACTTAGTATCAAATTTTTATTTTGGAGGGAACAGTTTTCTTTGCTGGCATTTAGTGTTGGTCAATTTTGAATTTCAAATCTGCCGAGTTGAACCGTTTTCAAGCCATCCTCGATAACTGAAATTGTAGTTCCTTATATCAATCATACCATCTTGTGCATCTCTCTCTCATATATATTTCAATATTTTATTTTAGTTATCTCTCCCATCTCTCTAACATTCCTTCTTCCAAAATTCCCTATTTTTCGAGAATTCCAAGAAGAATGTTCCTCCGCCATCTGGCGCTCAACTTGTCAAAGACAAAGTTCCGATACTCCACCAGATCCAAATCCTTCCACCATGGAAACCGAGAACATTCAACCTCCCGTCTAATCCACAACTAGGGTTTCTCGAAGCCCTAAAAATATCCTCAACAACTAAAGCTTCTCAACCTGAAGTCACCGAACCCAGCAACGAAATAGGAAAAGGTTCTCCGTCTATCGTCAAATCTCCAAAGGAACGCAAGAAGGTCACTGAAACCGTCGCACCCAAAACCAAAAAGGCGAAGAAAGTCGTTCATGTGCCTGAACCTTCTGCTGGTACTCCTTCTCACAAGAAATCTGGAGGAGAGTCATCTCCGGATTCTGATGCTGATTCTATTGAACGTGAGCTTACCAACTATGTTGCTGAACCTGAGAAATCTGACAACAAACATGCTGCGGACAAGGAACTTTCTCCTCTTGGAAAAGAAAAAATCGTTGCTGAAGTCAAGGGTGATGGTCCAGTCAGTCCTCTTACTGTTGATAATGCATTTTCTCGTCAGTTTTATCCTCCTTTGACTGAAACACACTTTTCTACCATCTTTTCTCAAATGAAGTTTTGTCCTGAGCGGACGATTGCTAGCGAACACTATGAACAACTTGGGTTGATTGAACTTCTGAAGAAAGTGGGTCTTGAGGGCTCAGTTACGTCTGTTGGAAAGTATTGTCCCAGGCTTGTTGGTGAATTTTATTCGAACCTGACTACCTCTATCATTGATTCGTCCTCAAAGAAGTTTCAAAAAGTGTTTGTGTGTAATAGTGTGGTTGAATTCTCTCCGTCTGTGGTGAACTCTGTACTGGGTCTAGCTGAAGTTTCATCACTTCTTCCTCTGACTGATGAACTTGATGAAGTTGCTCGCACCTTAACTGGTGGACAACTTAGCGTATGGCTTGCTTCGGGAATCTTTGTGAAAAGTCTGACTCTGTCTGCCAATGCTCTACAGAAGATAGGTGCGTCAAATTGGACCCCTACCAATCACAAACAGTTTGTCACCCCTACGCAAGCTCATGTTTTCTATCGTATTCTGAATGGTACCCCATTTGATGTTGGTTTTGTGATATTTGATGTTGTGGTAAGCTTTGCGGAGATCTCCAAGCCTCATAAGTTAATGTTGTATACATCTACCATATGTGCTTTTCTCTTTAAGGTTGGGGTGAAAATGGATCCTCGGCTTGGTGATAGTTATGCCCCTGTTAACAAACCTCTTGCCCTTGTCGGTGTTAAGGTTGCTCCGCCTCGTCCTTCTCTTGTTAAGGCTCTGATTTATCTTCACAGCTTCGCGGATTTGTAAATCATCAAGTGGCAGTTTTCGCGGGGCTTGAAAAGAAGTTAGCTGATCAGAAAAAGTACTACAAGGAGGTTCTGGGTGCTTTGAAGTCTCGTGCCCCATTGGTCTCTAAATCGAAAAAAGGAGAGAAAAAGGAGGATGTTGTTGCTGCAAAGAAGAAAGCCCTTGCTAAGGGGGATAAGAAAGCTCTTCCCAAGGGGGAGAAGAAGACCGGGTCTATTGAAGAAAAGAAGTCAAAGGAGGCTGCTGCTGCTAAGTAAAAAGGTAAGGAGAAGATTGCTGCTGCTAAGTACAAATGAAATGAAAAGGTTGTGGAAGAAGATGAAGGTTCAGAAGAAGGAGAGGATGAAGAAGCTGGATCTGATACCGAGGATGTGGAAGAGGAGGCAAGCTCAGAGGAAGGGACTGAGGATGGTGCTGAAGAAGGTTCTGGGCAGAATCTGACGAAGAAGAATCTTCATAGCTATCTCCCAACAG